GGAGAAAGAAAAGAAGAGGGACATAGGAAAAAAAGATGGAAGAAGACGGAGGAGATGACGAGGACGAGGGGGAGGGGGAGGGGAGGCACGACGAGGAGGAAGGAGGGAGGAAGTGGAGGAAGGAGAAGAAAGGGTTGGAGGCGGGAGGGTGGAGGAGGGAGGAGGAGGGTGGGGGAGGGTGGAGGGTGAGGGCGAGGGGGGGGGGAGGCGAGGAGGCCAGGAGGAGGAGGTGCCTCGAAGTTCTTCCCGCTGCCGATGGGCAGCTGGATCGGCACCGGGTTGCAGCCGAGCTGGTCCACCATCATCTGCACGTCCTCGGGCCGCGCTCCCCGCCGGGCCCTCGGCCTCGCGCGGGCGGACGCGAGGGGGGGGGGCCATCACGCGCGAAGGACGTCTGTACACCACCAGCGTGCCTGGACAGGCCCACCGTCGGGCAACCCAAGGGCAGAGTGAGCACAAAGCGTTCGGGGGGGCCGCGCAGATCTCACGGGTCGGCGCCAGAGGTGCCGCTGGGGGAGCCCGGCGCCGGTCCAAGAGAGCCGCGCGGACCCGGGAGAGCTTGTGCTTGTTTCTGGTTCCATGATTCGAGTGAGGACCCCGGCAGGGTGTATACTCCGGATTCCATAACAAAGGGGGGTGGGTCACATGTGGGGGGGGTCTGATTCGAGCTGTCTTGGAGGGTTCGGAGGGGGTCTGGGCAAAGGGCCGCCCTTTCATGGATGGTCTGGGGGGGTCTAAAACTTCTCGTCTGGAAGGGTTGTGACCCCCCCTTCTATCACGAAATCTGGAGTACGCCCTGATGGCCGATGCCAGGACATGTACACAATCCTAGGGCCCAGGATGGCCCCGGCCAGGCATGATGGCCGGACCTTACGTCATGTCCGCGTGGCGATGACGTCGGCGTTGGTTTCGGACACCGCGCAGATCGATCAGTTTTGAAGATTCGAAGCTTTTCGGCAGACAGTCGTCCGATATCGGGAGACTCTGGGCCACTGGCGGCATTCAACCTTGAGCGCCCGCGCTGGGGTCACCATCGCGTGACCGAGCCGCGAATCTACCCTGGCAGCCAAGGGGGGTCACCGAATCAGCTGCACGATGCTGGCTTTCCTGGCGCCTCCTGGCGCTGGAGGCGGCCACGTGTCGAGGAGTATGCCTGGCGGCGGGGCCGAGGCTGGATACATGCAGCAGGTTTCGCACTCACCCAGTTCCCGATGGCCCCCCTTCGTCCGACCTGAGCCTCACCCCCAAAAGGCATCTGTAAACTAAGAGCACCCAACAACAAAACAATAAGCAAAAAAGGCATGGCGGGACGTCCTTGCTGCGAGTGTGAGAAGAAATCAGCGGTGCCGAAATCACTCCAACACACAATCAAAACTAAGTGATACTCGCACGAAACGAAATGAGACCATGACGATAAAATCTACAGCGGTCATCCATGGCGGGACAGAACACCGCATGGAGAGCGAGGCATCCTGGACACGAACCGAGACTTCCCCTCCATCCCTCCCCATCGTCTTCACCCAGCTCCTCTCCTCCAGAAGATCCAGCCGAGGAGAACAAAGTGTAGGGAAAGGAAAAGCAGGAAAAAGAGAGAGAGAGAAGGGAGGAGGAGAAGAAGGAGGAGAATGGAAGCGAGGAGGAAGGAGGACGGAGGTTGGAGGACGGAGGATGAAGACAAGAAGAGACACAAGGAGCAGCATCAGCAGCAGCAGCAGCAGCAGCAACGAGAGCACGAGCGGGAGAAGGCGGAGCGAGGCAGGCCGGAGCGCCTGCCCTAGCCGCTGCGGGAGGGGGGGGCCCTCTCGCCCGGCCAGCGGCGGGGCCGCGGTCCCGGTAGAAGTCCGCCCCGTCGCGGTCCATCTTGTTCACGAAGCACATCCGCGGGACGTTGTACTTGTTCGCCTGGCGCCACACCTCGGGAGATGGGCGGCGGCGCCCGAGAGACGGCCCCCCTCAGCGCGGCTCCGAGGAGGCGGCAGGGGCCCACGAGGGGCCCCAGGAGGTGCCCGAGACGGCCCAGGAGGTCCTCGAGAGGCACGGGCAGGAAGCGGCCGCGAGCCCTGGGCGCACCCCCAGGGCGCGCCGGGGTGCCCCCGAGGCTGGGCCGCCGGGCCTCGCGCGCCCGCGGGGCCCCAAAAGTGGCCCTCAGAGCCACGCCCGCGCCCCCTCCTCCGCCTCCTCCTCCTCCTCCTCCTCCTCCTCCTCCTCCTCCTCCTCCTCCTCCTCCTCCTCCTCACCGCTGGAGACCTGCGCCCCCGCGTCTGTGGATCGCCTCCCCTCCCCCACCGCGGCTTTCCATCTGGCCGGAGACCGTCTCGCTCTGGGGCTCCACTCCCGCGACGCCGTCGAACACGGCCACCGCGCCGTCCAGGACGCGCAGGGAGCGCTCCACCTCCAGGGTGAAATCGACGTGGCCTGGGGTGTCCACGATGTTGATGCGGTGGTTGTTCCAGAAGGCGGTGGTGGCCGCGCTGGTGATGGTGATGCCGCGCTCGCGCTCCTGCGGCGACTGGCGAGGCGAGGGGGCGAGCGGCATTTCAAAACAAAGAACCTGCGAATCAACATATCAAACAACAACAATGACAAGGACACCAATAAGAACAAGATCCAGAGCAAGAACCTGAATAAAAACAACAACCACACCAACCGCATTAATAACAACAACCGCGATGAGACAAATAACGAAAGCATCAGCGTCGACAACAACCATGTTATTATGAAAAACGAAATATCAACAAACACAACAGCAGCAGCAACAACAGCAGCAGCAACAGCAGCAACAACAACAGCGGCAACACTAACCATAGCAGTAACAAGCACTACAACAAAAACAACAACTACGACGGCAGCAGCAGCAGTCGCAACAGCAACATCAATTCAAAAAAACAGCAACAGCAGCAGCAACAAAAAGCACAACAACAAACACAACAGTCATAACAACAACAACAACAACAGCAACAGCAACCACATCAGCAGCAACAGCCACAACAACAACCACAGCAGCAGCAAACACAATAACATCAACAACAATAACAACAACAACCACAACAACAACAATCACATGAACACTCTTCGCTCTTACCTGCTTGAGTGTCCGTTAACGCGTATTTCCCAAACCCTCGATACCCGCCCTCTTCGTCTTCGATCGTACCCCTTTTGGGGAATATACCTTTCTTCCCTGCAGGCCGGGCCCCGGCAAGCGGCGGGGCGGCCGCGGACAGTCGGCCTGGCCAGCGGCAGCGCTGATCGGCGGCAACCCGACCCCAAGAGGGACGGACAGGGGACCGACCACGACGACGACGAGGATGATACAACGACGACGTCGTCAACGACGACGACGACGACGACGACGGCGACAACGACGACGACGACGACGACGACGACGAGCGAAAGCGAGAGCGAGAGAGAGAACGACAGCAGGGCTACGAAGGGCACGAAGGGCGACAGCGGGGACACGAAGCGAATGGATATGGGGCCACGAAGAGCGCGAACGAGCGGGGGCCACGAAGGGCAGATAATGCAGGGCCACAAAAGGCAACGACGGGGCCACTGTGGGTAGCAAGTGGGCCACGTAGGACAACGAAGGGGCCACAAAGGGCGACAGCGGGGCCACGAAGGGCATGCACATGGGGCCACGACGGGCGCAAACGAGCGGGGGCCACGAGGGCCATACCAAGATTTGGCCGCAAAGGGCAAGGACGGGGCCACTGAGGGCAGCACCGGAGCCACGAAGGGCATCAAGTGGGCCACGAAGGGCGACAGCGGGGCCGCGAAGGGCATGCATATGGGGCCACGATGGGCGCGGGGGCCACGAAAGGCATACATATATGGGGCCACGAAGGGCAGCGAGGGAGCCACGAAGCGCTGCAACAGGGCCACGAAAAACAGCGAGGGGGCCACGAATGATTGCAACGGGGCCACGAAGGGCAGCGAGGGCGCCACGAAGGGCTGCAACGGTGACACGAAGGGCATCAAGTGGGCCACGAAGGGCGACAGCGGGGCCGCGAAGGGCATGCATATGGGGCCACGATGGGCGCGGGGGCCACGAAAGGCATACATATATGGGGCCACGAAGGGCAGCGAGGGAGCCACGAGGGGGTGCAACGGGGCCACGAAAAACAGCGAGCGGGCCACGAACGGCTGCAACGGGGCCACGAAAGGCAGCGAGGGCGCCACGAAGGGCTGCAACGGTGCCACGAAGGGCAGCGAGGGGGCCACGAAGGGCTGCGAGGGGGCCACGAAGGGCAACGAGGGAGCCACGAAGGGCTGCAACGAGGCCACGAAGGGCAGCGAGATCCCTATTCCTTAATAATATGGGAAGGAGCCGCGACTCCTGGGTGCCTGAATGTCGGGAGCGCGGAGCTTGAATAAAACGCCTGGAAGTCTCAGGCGGGAGCGGGGGTCCGAACTAAATTGTAAGTCTCAAGCGGGAACCGTTGTTGTTGCAATCCGGGGGCCAGGGGAGCAGTTCGAGGACGATGACTTTCCCTGATAAAAAGCAGGGCGCGAACGCCGGGAGCGGCACTTCAATTGAAAAACCATGTGCGCCCGAGTTGGGGGATCAACGACAACAACAACAGCAACAACAACAACAACAACAACAACAACAACAACAACAACAACAACAACAACTACTACTACTACTACTACTACTACTACCACAACAACAACAACAACCACAACAACAACAACAACAACAACAACAGCAACAACAATCATTGTAAGACTGTTAGCTATTACTTGCCCGTGTGTCATTCAAAACGAGTTCCCCACACCCTCGATACCCGCCCTTCTTGTTTTCGATCACACCCCCTTTGGGGGGATTATTTCTCTTTGCGGGGGGCGGCGGGCTTAGACAGGCGGGCAAACCTGAACGGGCGGTCAATCTTTCGTGGGCGTACATGTGCCCGCCATTGGACTTGGTGCGGGCCCTACAAAAAAAGGAGGGGGAGAACGAGGGAGGGTGGGAGGGAGGGGGAGGGACGAAGGAAGAGGGAAAACGCCAGGAGAGAAGGAGCGAAGAGAGGGGCGGTTGAGTAGGGGCAGTGAGAGAGAGAACAAAGAACTACATATAAGAGCGGTACAGAAAGAGAGAGAGAGAGAGGAAACAAAAAAAGGGAGGAGGCAGGAGAGGGGAGGGAGAAGGGAGGAGGGAGAGGAGAGAGAGGGGATAGGGCTGAGAGGTATAAGGATGAGGGAAGAGAGGAGGGAGACAGAAGGGAGGAGAGGAGGGAGGAGGGAGAAGGGAGAGGAAGGAGAAGCAGGAAGGTAAGAGCGTGAACGTTCGAGGAATTTCCTAAGCGAAAGCGCCGTTCCTGAAGAAACTCTCGGGCGGGAGCCCACGACGGGCGGGCGATCCCCTGACGGGCGGGTCGGGCGGGTGGGACGTTCAAGCAGGATGCCTGAGTATGGCGAGAGCGCGATTACTAAGTAAATTGTAACGGCATCCTTGGCGCAGCGTGTTTCCTGAGCGTCGAAAGCGGGATTTCTGAACAAATTGCATGGGAGTCACAGGCGAGAGCGTAATTCCTGAATAAAATGTGAGGGGTTCTCTGGCAGGAGCGGGGGTCTCGATTAAATTGCTAGGAAGCTTTGACTCAATTGCGAGGAAGTCTCAAGCGGGAGCGCCATTCCTGAGTAAATTGTGAGGAAGTCTCAGATTGGAGCGGGAATCCGAACTAAATTGCGAGGAACTCATCGGCGGGAGCACCGATCCTGAGTAAATTGTAAGGAAATCTCAAGAGCGGGGGTCCTGAGGAAACTTGGAGGAAGTCTCAGGCGGGAGCCGTTTGTGTTGTAATCGGGGGGGCCAGGGGCCCAGTTTGAGCAAGAAGACTTCCCCTGGCAAAAAATAGGGTGCGAGCGTCGAGGGGCACACTTTGATTGAGAAAAAACCGTATGCACCGGTGAGGGGGGATCAACAATAATTATTCGTCTGAAATGAAAGTTCAACAACCATCTAAAGACTGTTAGAACGGAAGGAAGGGACAAGGGGGAGAGAGGAGGATGGAGCACGAGAGAGAGTAGCAGGAGGGGGACGAGCGACGAGCGCGCGATGTCGGTCCAGCGGGACCGGCCCTACGAGGGCAGCGCGGGGGGGCCGGGACCCTCAGAAGACGTGTTGCGAGCAGAAATCGGAGAGGTGGATGTTGGAGACTCTTTAAGGGAGAAGAAGGAAGTCCTCCATGTATTCGAGAAAGCCGTCCTCAAGACTGTTCCACAAATTTGCATCCGATGCCATATCCACCCATTGGTTGTCGTATTTACATTCTGTAGCTGTTTAAAGAAATGACAATATGTCGTCGTTCCAAGTCTTCCGTTGACCGCCGTGTCGTCGTTCTGCTCGTCGTGCGTCGTGAGCGCGCGGGTCCCAAGTTATGCAACGTCTCGTCCGTCGTGACTGTGGCTTGCGACTCGAGCTGCGTAGTTCCATTTCGTTTTGACATATATGTGTGTCCATTCTTGCACATGCATGCGCTCGGCAATACTTATGGAAGTGCGTGTGCTCCTGCGTATGAAATCCACCCAGGGTTCCAGGTCGTCGTCTCTGCTGCGCGGTCCAAATTCGTGCTGGTCACCAGTGTCGTCGGTTGTGCTGTTGGTATCGGGTGCTGCGTTGTTGTTTCCCTGTCGGAACCGTCTCCTCGGCACGCCCACGACCAGACGAATCATCTTCCGTCGTGTCCTCTGCAGCGTGAAGAGCATGTCTTTGGTGAGAGTCCATGAGCAGCATCCATACATAACGCAAGGCGAGATTGTGCCGTTGAGAAGTCGCAGTCTACTGTGCAAAGAGAACCGTTTGTTCGTGAGTTCATTCCGTAGCTGGTTGAACTTGCCCACCCTGCGGCGATCCTGTCTGCTAGCTCGTACTCGTGGAAGTTGTGGAACGACAATTTTCTGCCTAAATATGTTGTGCTCTGGTCGTTGTGTGCAAGATGTCGATACGTGCGTCGTCCAACTTGGTGTGCGTTATGGTTATACCCATCCTCCGGCTAACGTTCGTCAGGATATTGGTCTTGTCGGGGTGTAGTGAAAGTCCGCAGAGCGCTGCCTGGTTGTTCAAGTCGCGTAGCAGACAGGTAAGCTGGCGTAGGTTCGGGGCGTACAGCAGGACGTCATCTGCGAAGCGCAGGTTGGTGATGCTAGTCTCTTGTGCATAGCCAAGCCTGATGCCAAACCGCTTTTGGTGCCACTTGGTCTTGAGTTGTCGGAAAATGTGTTCCAAAAGCGAATTAAACAAGCATGAACTGAGAGGGTCTCCTTGCTTCACTCCCCGCCGTATGTCAAAATGCCGGCTGTTAGTGTCTGTTCTGACTGTGGCTGTCTGGTCGCTGTACATTTGTTGCAAGAAATCAATATATGCAGCAGGGATGTGTTGCTGTCGCAAAGCTTCCCAAAGTTTACCATGGCTCACGCAGCCGAACGCTTTCTTAAAGTCTATTGCGGCTGCCCAGAGTGGTAGCTGCCAAAGATATGACTGTTCGTACAATACTGCCGCAG